TGTCTCTGGTGAATCCTCTCACACCCCCACACCTGTACCCCAGCTCTTGTATGCATAAATGAATAAATCTTTAAAAAAATATGATGATTTCAATTATTAATAGCATCTCTTAGAATCTGAAAGTTCTAATATTTCTTCTAAGAAATCTCGTATTCTAAGACCTGTTCACATTCAAGCTTACTTTTGATTTTTAACTATTTTCACTTGGCAACATGAGGACACTGCTTTTTTAGTTGATAGAAGAATAATTTTTGCGGTAAGATAAAGAAGATAGAGGTTTATTTGCATTTCTAATTTAAGTAAAATAATAGTTTTTCCCTTAACTTCAATTGTGTATCATTGAAAATTAACTTTACTTGAGAGGCCACTGGAAACTTTTGACAAAGGTTTTCAATGCCTTTCTAATAGTTCTTCACTATATGAAAATCAGCCATGTCAGTCTCTCTAGTTTTGCAAATGCTTAATCTGTTCTGAAAGGTTTGACAGTTCCAATAGCCCTTAATTGCAGTGCCTGGCATGTGTCAGGAAACACTTTTATCGGTGTCTTAACGACAGAAAGCTCACAGTTTTGGGTGTCTTTTTTCCTAAAGTCTTATGAAGTATTTGTTTTTTGCTTTATAAGATATTTTACAATTTGGTTTCAAACCTACTTCCCTTTTAAAACTAAAACTATCTTATCACTTAAATTCTATGTTCTTTTTGTATTTTATATATTTTATTTTACTTGCAGAATTGCATCTGAATGTAAATTTTGGTAAAATAATTCAGTGATGATGAAATGTAAATCCAAGTTACAATTTAATTGCAATTGTTGATAGCTATACAAATCACTCAACTGAGGCACTAATCTCAGAAGCGGATATCTTTTCCACATGGTGCAATTCATTCATGCTTAGCACTGAGTACTACGTTGGCACTTATGTCACTTATGACTTTTAGGGTTGGCAAGATTATTTTGACAGGAACTTGAAGACTCATCTGCTTTGGGCATAGTTAAAAGATGGGGTAAAGAGTTTTAAAATCAGGAATTATAGGGCCTCCCCGGTGGCGCAGCGGTTGAGCGCTGGGTTGCGAAGCTGCCCGCAGCCTCTGCAGTGCCGGTTCGTTCCCCGGCTGCTCCCCGGCCACCAGAGGAGGGTCCCACATAGCGTGCAGACCTCTCCTGCAGCCCGCTGCTCCCCTCAGCAGTGTACTTCGGTCCTTCTGCCTGCTCTGCTCCCCGCTCTGGCTCTGGTGAATTCTCTCACCCTCCCGCGTTTCTGACTGTACCCAGTGCTTGTATAAATAAATAAATAAATCTTAAAAAAAAATAAAAAATAAAATCAGGAATTATATATATGAATACAAGCATATTTATTTATTATTATATATGAATACAGGCATATTACTTATTATTTAAGCAACGATGTCTTAACTATAACATGAATGCTAGCTTTGAATAAGGAAATGTGACAGATCTCAGACTTTTAAATGGAATAGAATTCTATCCGGGGACAATGGTGATATATTTACTTTACTTTGGCAGTTGTATTCTTATTACAAAATCATTGCCATTACCCCCTTTCCAATGAAACACACATATTCCTTCTCTAAAAAAAATTTTTCCATAAATTTCAGTGTTTCACTTTTAATTCACACAACACAGCCACCTACAAAATTATAGAGTTAGACTTGCTCCCAAAGAGATTCAGAATTCAATAGTTGAGACTTGTTTTAATTAGAGTATTTCCTTTTAAGCTGTGATTCTCTATAGTTGGTTAGTGTCCAATTTTCAGGTTTCCAATATCCTGTTCCTGTACTACTTATTCTTGATCCTGGAAAAAGTTGAAATACACAGAAAAAAGCAAGATACATAATTAAGAGTTAAAGTGGGGGAAAAAAACCAATAGGGTGGACAAATACACAACATGACAAGTATAGAGAATTACCCCATGATATATCTGGTGTTCCCTGCCTTCCCAGGCTCGGGCAATTTCTTACATTCTACTCATAGTTTTTGAGTTTCTACTAAATGTAATTTCAAGATGCCTGAAAGTTTTCATACAGTTCATGGCCATTCCCCTAGGAGGACAAGAGAGCTATGTATACAGAGAGATGGATGCCATCATAAAAATCGCAAGTAAAGGGGAAAGTGCATAAATCTGGTCTGCTTTTGTTTTCTGTTTGTTTTTTGCCTTTTAAATTGCACTGGAAATAGATGAAGACCAACCAGATGAGACCAAGTAAAGAGTATTTACTTATTCAGAGTTTGCTACAGGAAAGGAGGGAGTCACTACCACTTGAAATTGGCAGAAACTCAAACGCAGCCAGGGGATTTGAAAAGTTCCATAGTGAGAAAGGGGGTGACATCAAGTAGGATGGGAACCTGTTGGCTTGTGGAAGCTGGAGGCATCAATTAACAATGAATGGGGCATCCTATGTGATTTGTTTCAAATTGCATTTGGATTTCTCTGGTTGTTTCTGACTTGGGATCAAGGGCAAATAGATGGAACCTGCCAGTCACTGACAATGTCTGAGCATTCTGGGTCTATTTCATGCAGAAGTAGTAGTCGTTCTGTTTCCTGGGCTGGATTATGCAGAGGTTTTGGGTCAGAATTCTGTTATCATATGTGGTCTGTTCATTGTCCATTTGTATCTTCACTCTTTCATATACAACCATATAATTTAAAACTGGTCAAAAATTTATCACAATAAATTTGACAAAAGCAAAACAAAAAGGCCGCACACTTTTCAATCAATCCATTTCAAATTTTCTGTCAAATGCAAATCCTGTCGAATGCAACTCCTGTCAAATGCAAATCCTGTCAAATGCAACTTTATATATCAATTATGATAATTGGGATTAACATTTACAATTGCACAATTGATCTTCACATGTTCAACTAAAACATGTATTTGAAGCTATATATATATATATATATATATATAGTCTTAATCAAAATGATATTTTCATTTTTGCATGTGAGGAATATACTTTTTTGAAAAAATACTGATAGATTTGTTGTACTGAAGTTTAAAAAGCACCACAGAACTTTTAAGCCAATCCTCTATAAACAGTTGAGTCTTTCTACTAGCTAATTTTATTTTTTGACAGTGACTCCTTCCGGGATTTGGTTATGACTGGTAACATTATGCCATGTGGCTCTAAAAGAAGACAGTTTTGATAACAAAGCACAGTAACACTGCAAATAGAAAGGCCGAGGAGGAGGCATGATCACTTAGGATGAGAGTGGATCTTACTGACCATTTTAGTTGCAAGGAGATTTAGTAAAATATCAAAATTACCACAATGCTTTATAGCAGAGCCAGTTAGTAGCAGAGTTTATGTTCTACAATCTGAGTCTAGTGCATGGGTCAGCGCACATTTTCTGTAAAGGACTAGGTATTCTCCATCATCATCATCATCATCATCATCATCATCATGAGATTTTCAGACATCTTTTCAAAAATGTAAAAGTCATACTTAGCTAGAAACTTGTGCAAAACAGGCCATAGTTTGTTGATCTACGTATATTAAATAATTAAATACAATATAAGGAGAATAGCAGTAGTTTCCATTTGACCTTGATGTTCCACTATCCAAAATGACTACCAGAAATGCCTTTCAAAAACAGAAGAAACAAAACTAAGTTTACTGAATGAATATCCTGCAGTAGCAGAACATTACCTTGATTTATAAAAGGATATGATGGTTTAAAGGGTCATTTTTACCTAGAATACCAAAGGGTTAGTCTTGCAATGCAGGAAATTATCTGAGATCAGATAGAGTTTATAACAAAACAACTTTTGAATAGTAGGCACAAGGCAAGAATTTAAAGTAATTATTGACAAGCAGGCTATTTTTCTTGATAAAGAACCTCTGTAATTTGCTCTGTTTTCTTTTCCAGTAACAGGTATTTCCTGAAGCAAAGAGTTAAGGTATTTTCCAGTGATTCTATCACTTTTCTGAAAAACAAACTTTGTTCCAAAATTGTTAGCGCAGAACAGGCACCAAAAAGTATACCGGCTTCAGTTTTTAGCACCGGAACACAATTTAGTTTTGAAAATAGACAAGCCATTTTTAAGTTATCCAATAGTGCCTTGCACAGTGTGGATGACTGATGGAAAAATACTGATCCTTACTATGTTATTTCAATTTTCATTCCACAAGGATTTAATTAGCTGAAAAGAGTGATCATGTGTTCCATCATCTTGATCGTCAGTTGAGGTTTTCTGAGTAGTAATTAAATAATGGAATTAAATGAACTGTACTTCACTATCCAAGTTGAGTCTTTCTACTAGCTAATTTTATTTTTTGACAGTGACTTGTTCTGGGATTTGGTTATGACTGGTAACATTGTGCCATGTGGCTCTAAAGCACAGTAACACTGCAAATAGAAATGCCAAGGAGGAGGCATGATCACTTAGGATGAGAGTGGATCTTACTGATCATTTTAGTTGCAAGGAGATTAAGTAAAATATCAAAATTACCACAATGCTTTATAGCAGAGCCAGTTAGTAGCAGAGTTTATGTTCTACAATCTGAGTCTAGTACATGGGTCAGTATTTTTTTTTTTTTTTTTATAGAGGCATGTTTTATTTATTTATTTTTTGTTTGTTTGTTTGTTTGTTCTGTTTACACATGCACTGGGTACAGTCAGAAGCGTGGGAGGGTGAGAGAATTCACCAGAGCCAGAGTGGGGAGCAGAGCAGGCAGAAGGACCGAAGCACACTGCTGAGGGGAGCAGCGGGCGGCAGGAGAGGTCTGCGCGCCATGTGGGACCCTCCTCCGTTGGCCAGGGAGCAGCCGGGGATCGAACCGGCGCCGCAGAGGCTGCGGGCAGCTTCGCAACCCAGCGCTCAACCGCTGCGCCACCGGGGAGGCCCACATGGGTCAGTATTAACAGTATTAACAGTATTTCTATATTAACTGGGAGTTTATTTTGAAAGAAAATATTCCTTTTACTATCTAAGTCTACTTTATTATTCTCTCTCTCTCTGTTTCAGAGTGAAGCATTCTAACTCCAGTCACGCTAATACTATGTAAAATAAACCAATACTTTTTGCAATATTTAAACCTTGCAGTGAAAGAATTGCTTTGAGGTAAGGTCAGGAAAATACCTGAAAACACTAATCTAGACATCTTCATTTCCCCAGTTCCCTTGCTAAGCATCCAATTTAAAAAATCGATTTATTTTAAAGTGAAAATTCTCATCTGATTGTTGATAAACTATGCACCACAGCTGTCAGCAACACATGTTATAAATGTTTTTTACTTCACATGTCAGTTGGCTTTGCCTTGAATGAACTGCACTCTAACAGCAGGTAATTGCTCTTCTGCTTTGGCTGTGCTAGCAACACATCTCTCCCTTCTGCTATAGGAAGTCCATTCCCTCCACAAATGTGCACTCATACACAAATTTCTGCTGCAGAGAAGGAAGAATGCATCCCGTGGCATTATTTTTATAAAGCAGAGGGCTAAGGCAAAACTGGAGTGAGACATCACACCTGAAGGGTAAGTTGAGAATAATCAAGATTGAAAAGAATAGACTGCTTGAGACTGATGATTCTATGCCAAGTTGGTTCTGATCATGTCTACCAAAGCTTGTAAGGGGAAGGGTATATGTTGCTCATCTATTTACCTCATAGTTGTAGGAGTGAATGAACAAATAAATGTTCAAGAAGGAAAGCAGTAATGGCAGGAGACCTCCTGAATTAGCTGAGGGTATATTAAGAAAATCTACAGCTATTATTATATTCAATTGTTAAATGTAAATGCTTTCTTTCTTTGATCAAGGATGTGGCAAGGGTGCTTCTTTTCTAATATATGTGTCACTTTCTGTCATTACTTCTGGACATCTTAAGAAATGCAATAAGACTAGAAAATGTAATAAATGGCACAATGTGATAAATATATCACAAGAGATTAAATAAGAAGACATAAAGTTATCATATATACATAACATTGTATATATAAAATAGGAAAACATTTTAAAATAAACTATATTTTTTATATGAAATGAAGAAACCACTTCCTATAGATTTGAAATATAAAAATTAATGATACTTTTTATACCATAAATTCATCATTAGAAAATGAAAAATTCTAAATGATGACATATTTGGTAGTCTCAAAATAACTAGAATAATCAAAAATGTAGATACAATATTCAATACAGAATACTGTAAAAATTATTGAGAGAAATTAAATAGACCTAAACAAATATGATCAAGAATGATTATGGTACAAAAGATAATATTTAAAGGTGTCACTTTCTAATTTATCTGCAGATTCAATGAAACCACACAAAATATTCTAATGTTTTGGAAGGGGCCATATTGGCATGATAATGATAAAATGTATATAGAGTGCATTGGTCCAGGGTTAGCCAGGGAAATTCTGGAGAACAAAAGTGGTGGGAATATTCTGTTTGGTAGTGAGTTATTGTAAAGCTATTGTTCTGAAGACAATGATATTAAAGTTACAACAGTATGTGATAGGATTAAACATAAAAAAAATTCATGGAACAAAGTGAGAGTCTATGAACATATATACAGATATTTGGGTACTTGAATTAGGGTAAACATTTGAGAATAGGTAGACGGAAAAGCAATGGTCTTTCTAATAGTGCTGAGTGAACTGGATACCCAAATAAGGAAAAATGAATTTGAATGATCTGATTACCTCAGATCATACATAAAAGTCAATTCCAGATAGAATAGAGATATAAGCAAGAACATAAATGTCAGTGACATTTCAAAAAGATAAAGATAGGTGAATAGTTTTATGAATTTCAGGCCAAGAAATACAGATATAACCTGCAATCTATTTATATGGAGTATATTTAAAGAACTTCTCCAAATCAATAAAGAAAGTCTCGTAGGAAAAAAATGGACAAAATAATTGAATAGCCTCTTTAGCATAGATAGGATATTCAAATCAATAAACATGAAAAACTACTCAACCTTATTAGAATTTAATTAAATGAAAATTAAAGCCAGTAAAACATACTACTAACCACAACATTCCCTGGAATGATGAAAATTTAAAAGGCTGATAATATTTGGTTTTGATGAGATTGCTGAACAACTGGAACTCTCAAGTAATTGCTAGGGAGTATGTATAATAGTAAACTCCTTTGGAAATCTTTTTTGGCAGTACTTAATAAGGCGGAAAAAGTGTGAACATAATACCTAGCAATTCCATCGATAGGTAGTTAGCAGTACAAATGCATCCCATAGTATGCCAAAGACAAATACAAAAAGGTCATAGCAGCTTTGCTGTTATTAACCTGAAATTGAAAATAACCCAAAAGGCTGTCAATGGCAGAACAGATAAATAGATTATTTAATTTATTCAATTTTTTATTCAATTTAATTTATTCACTAATTTATTCAATTCAATGCAATATTCTAGCCAATTAATAGGTACAAACTAAAGTTGTACTCAACAAAGATGAATCTCATGTACATAATTACAAATAAACATCTCATCCCATTAATTTACACTTAAAATAGGCAAAGAATTTTTGATATTAGAATTCAGAATAGTGTTTGTCTTTAGGAAGGAGGGTGGAGGTAGAGATTAATTGGGTGTATGAGTGGGTGTTTCTCTGTGCTGTTTATATTCTGTGTCTTTATGGATGTTCAGATTATTCAGTTGTTATTTCCTTTTAAACTATTCATTCTGATATACACTAGTGATGTGGGGGTCTGGTTGTCTGAGTAGCCATTTTGATTTTCCTGGAAGAAAAAAAGAAAAAAATTTTTTCCATTTCTATCCTCCTGGCTAAACCATGCATTGCTGCGGTATTAGCTGTTGTACAAAGACTTGTTGGAATAATCAGAGTAAAACGGTTTAATTTAGTGGTGATGAAATATAATATCTAAGGAAAGGAACATTTCAGGTTACTTCAAACTTCAAGTTTTAAGATTTTGATGTGTTCAGAATGTAAGGTATCTGGAGGATGGGGAAAATGAACAGAAAATTATTGTTGGTGTACCAATAGTCTATCCCAAGCTAGCAATTTTAAAGACATCAGAACTTTAAGTGTCTTAGTTTTCTTAATAGATCAACCTGTATCACCTGGATCCAACTTAATATATTTGTCTAAAATCCTTTAAATCTGTATCTATTTCTGATTTATCTGCATATTAAAATGGAAATACTGTTTTGTGACAAGCAAGTTTTGTGACAAGTTGATAAGCAAGTGGCATCTAGAATTCCCATGAGAAAACCCAACTGTTCCTGACCTTTCAAATTGTGAATGAAATTCTCCATGTTTTGAATATTATTTCATCAGCACTGCATCTACCCACTGGACCAATAACATTCACCAAAGAATGAAAAAAGAAAGAGTTGTTCCAGAGAGAAAATCAACAGGGAAACATTTTACTCATGTTGGGTAATTTATCTATAAGTCTCTCTTGGGATTAAATTGACATTGAAAACAAAGTGAAACTCTTAGAATTTATGCTGTGTCACAAAGTCAGCTCCCTCACCAGCAGAGACACACAACCTCACCCCTGCAACAAGGGATCCATGAAAAGGAGATGAAAGACAATAGTATTTTTTTTTTCTGCTGAGGAATGAATGTCATCCCACTGATATGTCATCCTTCCGTGAAGGGGACTTCTATTGCATTTTACAGATTTGGATGTCTAAGAAGCTGTCATTTAGATATTGGACAATGGCGATGGAGAAACTATAAGAGCAGGGAAGATAATATTTAGATGCTGGGAATTAAATTTACTCCTTAAAAATATTTCAAAATAGATACTGCTTAATAGGCCACAAATATAGTTCCTGGCCATTATAGTTCTGTCCAACTTAACAAATGCTTATCATACTTAGCATATAAGTATTTTAAAGATCTAAATAGAAGCTGAAGACCTCATAACTTTAATAAAGTTACTCCAAAAGGGAAGATAGGGCATAGAGAATTGGATTTTGAACACAAGACAGAATTAAATTATAGTAGTAATAAGGTTGATACGTTGAGCTTGATATAGTTTTGAGAAAACAAACTAAAAAGCTGTATACAAAATAGTTAAGACCCTAGGATATAGAATTAGACTACTGTAGTCTTGATGCCTGGGTAATAGCACCTTTTAGGCTAGTGTGTGAAGATTCTGTTTAAAAAACACATCTTTCAGACCTCCCTGGTGGCAGAGCGGTTGAATGCTGGGCTGCGAAGCTGCCCACAGCCTCTGCAGTGCTGGTTCGATCCCCGGCCCCCAGCAAGGGTCCCACATGATGCACAGACCTCCCCTGCCACACCCACTGCTCCCCTCAGCAGTGTGCTTCGTCAGTCTACCTGTTTTGCTCCCCGCTCTGGCTCTGGTGGGTTCTCTCTCCCTACCGTGCTTCTGACTGTGCCCAGTGCTTATATGGATAGATGAATAAATCTTTAAAAAAAAAAAAGAACAAAAAAAACTCCACATCTTTCTTTGCAGGGATAGTCTCTGAAAAGATGTGTTTCACATTATCAAAGTCAAACAAACTTATTGATGAAAAGTAATTGAGTTTTAAACCTCTTCCTTTTTGAAATTCACTGTTACTAGAACTTTTCTAAGATAGTTGAGGTTAAATGTAGGGATATCAAGCGAGATTCTTTTTCTATGAGTGAAGGGGATGCTTTTTTTTAAGATTTCTTTCTTTTTTAAAAGATTCAAATGTTAATGAGTAGGGATGTCAAGCGAGATTCTTTTTCTATGAGTGAAGGGGATGCATTTTTTTTTTAAGATTTCTTTCTTTTTTTAAAAAATTATTTATTTTTGAGTAGAAGACTGGGGTGTAGGCCAGAGGTGTGGGGAGTGAGAAGATTCACCAAAAACAGAGTGGGGAGTAGAACAGGTAGGTTTATTGAACTACATTGTGAAGGGGAGCAATGGGTGAGACAGGAGAGAGGTATCCTGTGCCATATGTGGATTAGCTCCCTGGGTGGGTATTGAACCCAGACTGTGTGGTGGGCCATAGTGGTGATAGTGCTGAGACTTAACTCCTAGTCCACAGGGGAGGCTGGGGATTCTGCATTATTGATAGGATTTCAACATTAAGGTCAAGGCATAAGTGGGGTAGTGGCTGGCTGTAAAATAGTAGAAGGCAAAGGCTGGAAGCTTTCTGTAGTCCATGCTACACTGTGTAGGTAGGCTCTGAGAACAGTAGCTGAGCGAGATTAATACATACCAACAAGCATTAAGGTTGTGGGTATGAGAATGGATTCTTCTCTGTCCTGTATAGGAATCTGGGCAAGATGGAATGTTATTGCAGTAGTGAAAAATGAAAGAATAGGTTTATCTGGTCAATTTTCAATGGTAACAATATGATTCCATAATCACTAAGAATGAGCCAGGAATGGATGTAGCAAAGAACTCTTATTTTTCCAAATCAAATGGAGGAATGACCTTTGGAACAAGGGATTCTGAAGCTTGAATTTTATTATGTACTCACACATAGGTGTAGGTATGTGTGCGCCTCTGTATTTAATGCAAAAGCACTTAATGGGTCCTGTA